ACAGGTAGAATCCCGAAGAAGAAAACTTTTCATGATATGATGGATTAGATTAATGCCAAGATGGTGTCATGGAAAGGAAATCATCTCTCTTTTTTGGCAAGGTTAATTTAGCCAAATCAGTGATTAAAGCTAGTCCCACATACACTATGATGACTTGTGCCCTTCCGAAAGAGTTTTTAAAAGACATACTGAAAATTCAAAGGGATTTCATATGGGGAGATTTAGAAGAAAAGAAACATGTTCACACTATCAAATGGGACAACATCGCCAAGCCCAAATTCATAGGTGGTTTAGAGATGAGGGATCTAATTGACATGAACAAGGCTTGTCTTTTCAAACTATGATGGAAGCTAAAATGTAGAGAGAATTCTCTTTAGTGTCAGGCTTCGAGAGGTAAATATAATAGAAGCTAAAGTTTTTTAAAGTTGTTAAATCCAAACCTCATGACTTGAGCCTTTGGAAAAACATAGTGAGGCTTTGGCCTAGAATGAATGAGATGACCTATGAAGCATAGGAAATTAAGAAAGTACAAATGTGTGGACTGGTTATTGGGTAAGCTCAAAACTTAAACTAGACCAACCGAGAATTGTATCATCAAAGGATCTTCAGATTCATAAAGTTATTTACCTAACTAATGATAGAGGTAACTGGGACAAAAGCAGAATTAAGAATTTGATATCATCCAATATTCTAAATGACATGGCAAACCTAAACCCTTCTAATGTTGAGAATGGTAATGATGTCTACATTTGGAAAGGAAACAAGGTAGGTACTTTCAATGTGGCAAGTGCATACCAACTAATAAACTTGAATAACAATGATCATAACACCTCTGAGTCTTGGGAACTTGTTTGCAATCTAGCAGTATCTGAAAGAATCAAATTATTTATATGGATGACAAAGCATGAGAGCCTAATCACCAATGGCTCTCAAAAATAATTCTAAGCCAATCAAATTATGTAAACTGCATAATAGCAAGGCAGGCTTGGACAAATCTGAGCATATTCATAACCTTAATCTATTTTTTTTATTGTAACTTACCAGTAAGGATGGATCTTAATCTAACTTCAACAGAAAATCAGTGGACGAATCTCTGGGCCACTACCTGCCGTTTGATTTGGTACTAGAGGAATCAGAGGAAACATAACGTGGAATTCATTATGCCGACCAATCTAGCAGCTGAGAGTCAAAGAAAATGTAATGCCTATCAATTCAGTTCCCTCGTGATACACAAGTTGCATTACAAGCAACAACATATGCCAAATATTCATTGGACTGCTCTAAACCCAAACTGGATTAGGCTTAACACATATGGCACAATCAAAGGGCAAGAAAAAATTGGATGGGATGAGTTCTAAGGGATACTAATGGTTTATGGTGGGGAAGCTTCTAAAAAACATAGAAGCGTGTGGAGTTTATTTATTTGGAAGAGTTTCATGGTGTTTATGAAGAGTTGACTATAGCATACGAAATAAGACATTGCAAGGTTGAAGTGCATATAGATAGCATGATTACTTACCAAGCACTCATTAGAAATAACACGAAGGAACAATTCGAGAAAATTATTCTCCAAGAAATCATGAACGTGTTGAATCATGATTAGAAGGTGAACTTAAACCATGTCTATAGAGAAGTGAATCCTTGCGCAAACGGGTTAACTAAGGTGAGTCTTCAACACGAATTGGGAGTAAGTCCTATTAAAATTTCCCTTCAAAGATTTATCATGTGTACAATATAGATTGTAATGGAGATCTAATTTCTCGTTTAATTTTTGTCTAGTTTTCTTTTGGGCTTTTGACCCTCCCATGTTTAAAAATAAATAGTTAAGTTTTGTTACCATGAATTTTATGAATATGGATGGGGTATTCATGGTATTCGTCTCATTAAATAAATATGATATTTGAATCAGACTTATACCGGTGCAGATACCCACTAAACGAGTATCTTGGATCTTAAGATATGCGTGAATGTTTACGAGATATGCGTGAATGTTTACGAGTTATATATATATATATATATATATATATATATATATATATATATATATATATATATATATATATATATATATATATATATATATATATATATATATATATATATATATATATATATATATATATATATATATATATATATATATATATATATATATATATATATATATATATATATATATATATATATATATATATATATATATATATATATATATATATATATATATATATATATATATATATATATATATATATATATATATATATATATATATATATATATATATATATATATATATATATATATATATATATATAATAATAAAACAAATAATAAAACAAATCATATTTATTTTATTCTTTATTTTAATGTAATTATACTATATTTAATAAAATAATAATAATGATAATTTCATATTCAAATAATAATAATAATAATAATAATAATAATAATAATAATAATAGTAATAATAATAATAATAATAATAATAATAATAATAATAATAATAATAATAATAATAATAGGCTTATATTTAAAAAAATAATTAAAATTATAATTAGAGAAATATTAACAAATATCTCACAATAGGGATGGCAACGGGGCGGGTCGGGGGCGGGTTTTACTATACCCGCACCCGCACCCGCTTTCATGTAACACACCCGCCCCCGCCCCCAAACCCGACCGGGGGTAAAAATTTACCACCCAAACCCGCCCCCAGTAGAAAACGGGTGCACCCGCACCCGCCCCGCCCCCACCCGAAATTTTTTATTTTATTTTTAATTACAATAAAAATTAATAACTTAATTAAAAAATTAATTATTTAATAAATAAATTATTTATTTAATTAAAATTTTAATTAGTAAATTAATATTAACTTGATTAATTTATTTATTTTAATTGCAATAAATGTATTAATAATTTAATTAAAAATATAATTAATAAATAAATATTAAAATAAGTAAAATAAGAGAATTAAATTAAAATAAATTATTCGGGTGCGGGGCGGGGCCGGGTGCGGGCGGGTCTTAGTGTCTACCCGCACCCGTACCCGCACCCGTAATTAAAAATCGAATTTTCCCCGCACCCGCACCCGTACCCACTCAAACCGGGTTTTCCCCGCTAATTTCGGGGCGGGTCCGGGCGGGCCCCGACGGGTCCGGGTTTTTTTGCCATGCCTATCTCACAACACTCTTTAAAACTTTAAAATAGTAAAAAAAAATTGAAAACATATGTATTTAATAAATTGAAAAGTAAAATTGTTCACTTATAATTAAAATAATAAATTTTGTATTCAATAAAATAATATTTAAATAATTTGGACATTAATAATCAATACATATATCCACAAATACAAATATCATTAAATATGTAGGAAATACCTTTTAAATTTAATAGTAGATATTTAAGAGCATATTTAATAGGAGTAAACTAAATGAGTAAATTAAAATATTTTTTGTGGGTCCAAAGTGTTTTGTAGGATTTAGAAAATTTATAGTTGATTTGAGTAGTTTGTACTTTAACGACGGTTGTCTATAAGAAACCAAAATTTGACCTCACATTTTATATTTTTTATTAAGTTATCATTAATTTAATGCTGTTGGAATATTTTATTAATATTGAATAGTATTATAATAGGTTTTACATTGAATAACGTTAACTATATAGATAATGGAAAATAAACTTTAGTTCATTAAATGTCATGTCAACTCTACTATACAAAATTTTGGTTTAACAACCCTGCCGTAAAGTTGCTCTAAGAGCATCTCCAAAAATGAACTTATTTTTGAGTTCTTTGTGGGACCTATTAAGTCACCTTGAAGCAACTCAACTAATTTTTTACTCCAATGATACAACTCTGAAGAATTCATATTGGATCTCACAACTTAACTTTATATATTAATATTTTATTCATATTAAATTTTATATCACTTAAAATAATAAATAAAATTTAAATATAATAATTAAAATATAGTTTAAACTTATAATTTAAACTTATGATAATTAAAATATGATAATTTAAACTTATAATTAAAATATAGTTGATATAATTAAAATTTATATTAAACTTATAATTTAAACTTATAATTAAAATATAGTTTTCATATTATAAAATCAATATTTTAATATTGTAATTATAGTTTTCATATGATAATTAAAATGATATATAAAATTTTATATTAAATTATAGTTTTTATATTATAAAATCAATATTTTAATATAAGAACCGTTGAAAAACTTTTACATAATTAATAACCGTTGAACAGCATGGTAATTTTAAAAACAACAAATATGAGTGTCATGTTGGCAAATTCATTCTAAAAACTTCCATTGAAGTCGGTCTAAGAAGCCATTGAATTTGTACTCCTGGCATCTTGTAATTTTGAGATTGAATTTCTAATCATAAGGGGTTTTAATTTTAACCGTAAGTATCTAGAACCATTGAATTATTGTAACGCGTTTAACCCACCGATATTCACGGGTAACAGTTTTTTCCAATCGCCAGCCTCCAAAATTCTCGCACATTAACAAGCACTCAGAAGTTTTGTCACACACATTATTTGGGTCCCAATGCCCAAAGTTATGGGCATCAAGAATTATTCCACTAATAATGTGTTGTAGTGACGCAATGTAAGTTGTGTGATGAGAAAGCTTCATTTCCAAAAATTATATGGAAAAAACAAGTTCGAAACTTCCACCTAGCGTATAATTACGTACACGCAATTTCTTTCTTGCATTCAAAAATACCTTATGCTGTTTCAATGCTTTTTAATAATAAATTTAAAATTTTCATCAAAAAGAAAAATTTTAAATTGCAATCTACAAGTAAGAATAATAATAAATTCTCACAACTGCCGTTGTCAAGAATTGATATCGCTTTTAAAAGCGTAGTTTTCATTAATGAATAACTTCAACAAAATAAACATCTCATAAATTAAAACATAGTTTTTGGAATCGAAATACAAAGTAAATAAACATCTTCGTCATCATCATCTACTAACTCAGAAATCCTTCAACAACTTGCGAACCTGCTCCAGAGTAACAAACAGAACAACAGTGAAAGGACCCTGCCTCGAAATCGTAGGTATAAACCCTTTGTAAAGAGCCATAGGACCCTCAGCACGAACCGTTTTCAATGCACAATCCAAAGCACCAGCATAAGGTGGTTCCTTACCAGGTTCCACCCTCATGTTCATCACCCTTGTTTTAATCACATCAACTGGATTAGTCACAACCGCCGCCACAAATCCTGCCGCAAAACTCGCTGTCACGTGGGTTCCAAGCCCGTCTTTCATCACTCTTTTCTCGAGAATAATCTCCTTGAACTGGTCGTAAGATGCCAGCTGTGAAGCAGTAACCAGCATAGCCCTGTTCACGGTTAGAGATGAACCGCGCCAGAGACTGGTTACACCTTCTTGCTTTGCCATTCTTGTAATGGCATCGACCACTGATTTGTAGTTTCTCCGCTGAGATGCTGGTAGTCTCCCGTCGGCTTGCATTCGGACCATGGCAACATCGGCTGGGTTTCCGATTGCGGCTCCGACTCCACCGGCGATGAGTCCTGCTTCGATCTTGCGAAGCAGCGGCATAGTGCCGGCTTCACGATCTGACCACTTGTTTTTCAGGATGTCATAGAGACCCATCCTGGTGGTGGAGTAAAGTGTCTGCCGGAGAACAGTGGCGGAGACGCCGGAGAATAAGGCTCTAACGCCTTCTTGTTGGACGAGACGGACTCCAACAGAGATCGGACCCACGCGAGGCTGAATAACCGGAGTAGGCCCCACGTGGATGGAAGTTGTTCCGGTTTGACCGAAAGCAAGAGCGGGTCGGAGATTCTGAACCGGGTTCGGCTTAGGAGCGTTTTCGCCCTGAAGCTGCATACGAACCTTAATTAGGTCAAGCGGGTGGGTGGAACATCCTGCTATGATAGAAGCAACACCACCTTCAACAAAACCTTTAACTCCCATGATGTTGTAGGTCTTTGAGTTAGTAGGAAAAAAAAGGGTTTGAAAGAATTTTGGGAAAAGAATAACTAATTGAATGAATAACGATATGAATTAGAGATATGACCAATTGGAATTAGAGGACATCTCACTGGAAACCAGGAGATGGGAATGAAGGCCACAAGCTATAGAAGAAGCGTGAGGAACAGAAGGCCTTTGAGACATATGCTAGCAATTTGGTGTTGTGGTGTGAAGAAAATAAGAGATGGTGTGAGAGAATTTATAGTTGGTTTTTTGGGATGCGGCTAGGTTAACTGTTTCTACGCGATTACAGGGTGCAGGTGCACCCTAGTCTAAATCTTTTCCTTAATTAACGCGTTTGTGGAAGGGTCCTTCTTTGAAAGCCACAAATTAAAGTTTTCTTTTTCATTTTGATTTTTTTTAAAAGAATTATTTTGAAAAGATGCCACTAATAAATATATAACAAAAAAAGGAATTAATTAGTTTTCCTATAAACTATAAAATAATTTAATATTTAAAAAGTATTATACTTAATTAATTTGTAATTTGTGCTCTCCTGAAATAAATATTAAAAAAAATATTTAAAATTGTATTGTGAATTTAATATAAATTTATAATTAATGAGTATATTATTTTCTTTTTCAATATAAATTAGCATTATCCTTTTATTTATTACTCTTTTATTTAAGTTTTAAATTTTGAATTATTTTAGTATTTTTACAAAAGTTCAAAAACAAATAATAATTTGTTGAGAAAATATTATGCTTTGATTTGACTATAATATTTTAATTCAATCTAGATATTTTATTGAGAAAATATTAATGATTTGATTTGACTATAATATTTCAATTCAATGTAGATATTTTATTGAGAAAACAATAATTTGTTGAGAAAATATCAATATAGATATTTTAAAAAATTAATATAATTAATCATTTCACAGTGGTGTTATTTAATTCAATGTCGTATAAAATATTTTATATTTTACTTGTGTAGAAATCAATCTCAATAAAAAATCAAATGAATAATATTTAATAGGGTTTTGTTTAAAAAATTGTATTTAATTCAAATCTTTGTATTTATAAAACATAAATTGTTTATTTTTTATTCAAATTTTATAAAATTATATTTATATTTATTATTATTTTTAACTTCATTCGCATATTCTAAAATCTAAACCATGATTTAATTAATTCCAAATATTTTAACCAAACTCCAATTGGACGTCGTTCATTAGGTGCATCCAATCTTCCCTTTATTTAATGCACAGTAAATCCAATCTTACAGTCAAACAAATGTTTATTAATATCATATATTTCAAAAAGATATGTAATCATTAGATGATTTTAAATATTTTAAAAATATTAAATATTTATATATAAAATTATTTAATGTATTTTTAACCAATGTCTTTAAAACGCTTATCGTAACAATGTCAATAAAAAATATTAAAAAGATAATTCTTTCTACTGGCCAATTTATTTGATAGGTTGTATGCAAAAAAAACTCTTTTTAAATTGTTGGCTTTCCGCATCAAAAAAGTTATTGGTTCTCTCATATCTGCGAAACAGTCGACATTCTTATCAGGCAAAAGTATTGGGGATGATGTTCTAGTTGTGAATGAAATTTTGGACCTTGCTAAAAGGGAGAAGAGAGAGTGTTTGGCTTTTAAGGTCGATTTTGAAAGAGCGTACGATTTCGTATCGTAGGATTTCTCGAGGTTTCATTTTACTAAGATAAAATTTGAATCGAAGTGGTCTCGATGGATGGAGGCGTTTGTTTTCAAAGGATTTACCTCGGTGTTGGTTAATGGGAGTGCTACGAAAGATTTCAAGGTAAGTAGAGGGTTACATCAAGGTGACCCTCTATCTCCTTTCCTCTTCTTGATTGTGATGGAAGGGTTAACATTGCTTATGAAGAAGGCAGTTTCATTAGGTTTTTTCAATGGTTTTAAACTTAGCGTAGAGCTGAGCTTTAGTATCGTCCAGTTTGCGGACAATACGATGTTCTTAGGAGAGTGTAGCTGGGATAACCTGTGGAGTATAAAGGGCATTCTTAGAGAGTTTAAGCTAGTTTCGAGTCTGAAGGTTAATTTTCACAAAAGTTGTTTAAGTGGAGTCAACTTACCAGATGGTTTTTGTAACGCCCGTTCATTTTAAATTAAATTATTTATGAATTGCTGGTGTGCCTTTATGTGGGAGTATGTCTGAAAGCGTTGGTGGGTGTCATTAAAGTATAGGGAACCATTTGATAAATTATAGAGTTTAATAATAAGATAATATAATCAATAATGATGATAATTTAATACTTAGTAGTAATATTATTATTATTATTATTATTATTATTATTATTATTATTATTATTATTATTATTATTATTATTATTATTATTATTAGCGAATGAAATAAGTGAAATAGGGAGTTATTAGAGAAGTTGTGGGGAAAAGAGGAAAAACACGATAAACTGCTCAGAAAAACCAAAATTTAGACGAAAGGTTGAGGAGAAGAGGAAAAAGGACGTGGTTGTGGAGAAAGGAAGAACAGAGGAATTAATCGCCGGAGAGAATTCAAGGTAGCTGCAGAAGAGTCACCGGAGAGCAAATCGGGAGTTTTAGAGTTGTCTTCAATCCAAAGGTAAGGGTGGGGTTCAATTCTATAACTATGAGTATGATCGATTTCATGAAGGAATTGAATCATGGGGTTAGTTCCCGTAGGTTGGGAAATATTAAGGGTTAATGTTCTCGTAGGTCGAGAAATATTAAGGGTTAATGTTCTCGTAGATTGAGCAATATTAAGGGTTAATGTTTTTGTAGGTTGAGCAATATTAAGGGTTAATGTTCCCGTAGGTTGAGAAATATTAAGGGTTAATGTTCCCGTAGGTTGAGCAATATTAAGGGTTAATGTTCCCGTAGGTTGAGAAATATTAAGGGTTAATGTTTGTCTGTGCCTGAATTAGTGTCTTATGTCAGCAGTTCTATGTAATAATATTGGGAAACGGCGCCGACGTGCGTTAATTTCCCATTGTTGAGAAAATGTTGTTATTATGCTCTTACTTGATTTGTTATAAAAATAAAAAAAAAATTGTGGTCATATGATGCGTATGAAATTGCGATGTTTAGGTTATGGACAATTTGGTTGTAGGCTTAATGCCTTGTTGCGTAGTTGTTGTGGTTGTGTTGTAGTCCATAATAGATGCATCTCATAGCATAACATCCTGGTTGGCATGTATTGGCGTTGGTTGTGCCTGTATTGGCGGCCTTTAATGGCAAATAAATTGGTTGTGGAGTGCTGCTCCGAATTGGTACCACATGCATATGCACAGTTGAGTCGCATAGTTGAGTCGCGTCATTATGTGTTTGCAAGTAATGATGAGTTGCTGAATTATCCTGCTAATTGTTGCATATATGAATGATGAATTTCCTGGTAGTTCGTTGTGATAATATTTGGAGGACTGTGAGAATTTTAATGCTGTGATATGATCCTGACATGAATTTTATCATGCCTTATGTTATAATTTTGATATCTCACCTTTTACGTTGTATGTTACCTCCATTGGTGGTAATTTGCAGGTAACTCGGAATAGAGTGTAGCTTTCCGTTTAAGGTCGTTGGTCGCTCTGATACTTAGCACTCTTGGGGGGATGAACAATTAATTGTATTGTGTTAATTGATTTACTTGTTGCTGAATTTTATTAAGTACTTTTCTTTAATAAATTGGTTGCTTCTGATAGTGTCAAATGTTGGTTGTACGCACTAGACGACGAAGCGGTAATGCTGATTGTTATGGTTGAAACTAGTTGTTTTGTGAATTGATGCAAGATAATTACTTGCTGAATTTTAATGGAATTTAGTTGCAGACTTTTCTGGTCTTGCGTTGGTTTATTATAAATGTTGGAAGTGTATTAGATTTCGCTGTAAAACAACATATTGCCTTGTAATTGAGATGCTAAACGAGTTGTCGTTATTTGTTCATCCAATTCTATGCTATGTATGTACTAAATGATTGTGTTGCAGGTGTGTGTGGTCTGTGTAAGTTGAAATGTGACCCCCAGTTTTTGTGAGTGTGACGACCGTCACCATGCCATCACGATCGTCACGACCCTCACAGTCGTCATGATCATCACGATCGTCATGACCATCACGGTCGTGACGGTTCCACCACGATCGTCACTTAGCCATTTTTCGTGCACTCTGATTGTTATTTTCTTGTTTATCTATTGGGTTAGAATGGGGTGTTACAGTTTTCTCCAGGCAGCAATGGATTTTCTTTGCTGCTAAATTGGTAAGGTTCCCTTTTATTTCTTGGGCATAATTGTTTGGGACAATCCTAGAAAATACTCCTCTTGGGCTCATGTTATGTCTAATCTTCGGAAGCAGCTGGCTGTTTGGAAAGGCAAGAATTTATCTATAGGGGGTCGTGTAGTCTTGATTAACTTAGTTCTTAATTTGCTCCATATCTACTCTTTGTCTTTCTACAAGGTGTCGGTTAAAGTTTTAAAGGAGATTATCAAAGAGCAGAGCAATTTTCTATCGGGAGGTTCAGATAGCGCTAGGAAAATTCATTGGGTTAGTTGGAGTACAGTTTGTAAATCCAAGGACAACGGAGGTTTGGGAATGAAGGACTTATTTCTTTTCAACAAAGCTTTGTTGCTTAAGTGGAAGTGTTGTCTTTTATCAAAGAACGAATCCTTGTGGAAACGGTTGACTAAACATAGACATTCTAATTCTAGTATCAACATGGAAGTGTTATGTAACAATGATCGAGCAGGGAGAAATTCTGGGTCTATATTGTAACGCCCCGATTTTGATTATCCCTTTTTTGTTAAGTCCTTTTTTATTTTTAAATTGGGCGAATATTATTTTGATGTGGAATTTTCTTGGAGATATGTTATGTTTACATATTGTTCTATTTTACCCGATTTTGGGAGTTTTCGGAGAAAATAGTTGGAGGGTATTTTGGATATTTCCTATTTAATGACAAGTTGGATATTTTATGAGATCTTGA